CAGGACTGAGACCAGGGAAATTCTGCCTTGATTGTAGAGGAAGTACTAGAAACTCAGAGAGATTACAGCGGCTGCTGTGCAGCCCAGAAGTGGGAGGGGCCAAGACTGTGAAGTTTGATCCAGGTTGGGTGTTTCCCTCCCTTTCTCCCAGCAAGAAGCGCAGCTCCCTCTTTCGGAAGATCACCAAGCAGTCCAACCTGCTGCACACTAGCCGCTCTCTGTCGTCGCTGAACCGCTCACTGTCGTCCAGCGACAGTCTTCCGGGTTCGCCCACACATGGGCTGCCAGCGCGCTCTCCCACACACAGTTACCGCTCCACGCCTGACTCCGCCTACCTAGGTAAGTTTTGCACCTGCGTGGGGTCGGGGGAGAGAGGCACTGGCTTATCAGTGGCCACTGGTGGCGTTGCTCACTGAGCGCTGCATCTCCCTGGCACGCAGGCGCCTCATCCCAGAGCAGCTCGCCGGCCTCCAGCACACCCAACTCGCCGGCGTCGTCGGCCTCACACCACATCCGGCCCAGCACATTGCACGGCTTGTCCCCGAAGCTCCATCGCCAGTACCGCTCTGCGCGATGCAAGTCAGCCGGCAACATCCCGTTGTCGCCACTGGCGCACACGCCGTCTCCCACGCAGGCGTCACCGCCGCCGCTGCCTGGCCACACGGTAGGCAGCTCGCATACCACACAGAGCTTCCCAGCCAAACTTCACTCGTCGCCGCCCGTCGTACGTCCGCGCCCCAAGAGTGCCGAGCCTCCCCGCTCGCCGCTCCTCAAGCGCGTGCAGTCAGCCGAGAAGCTGGGGGCCTCGCTGGGTGCCGACAAGAAGGGCGCACTGCGCAAACACAGCCTTGAGGTGGGCCACCCAGACTTCCGCAAGGACTTCCACGGCGAGCTGGCGCTGCATAGCCTAGCAGAGTCCGATGGTGAGACGCCTCCCATCGAGGGTCCTGGAGCGACCCGTCAAGTCGCCGTCCGTCGCCTGGGCCGCCAGGAGTCGCCCCTGAGCTTGGGCGCAGACCCGTTGCTTCCCGATGGTGCTCCCAGGCCACCGATATCCAGCAAGGAGAAGGAGTCCCCTGGCGGGGCTGAAGCCTGCACTCCTCCCCGTGCTACAACCCCCGGGGGCCGGACCCTGGAGCGGGACCCGGGCTGCACGCGGCACCAGAGCGTTCAGACGGAAGACGGCGCGGGCGGGGTGGCAAGGGCGGTGGCCAAGGCGGCGCTGAGCCCTGTGCAGGAACACGAGACAGGCCGGCGAAGTAGCTCAGGAGAGGCTGGCACGCCCCTGGTGCCCATTGTGGTAGAGCCAGTGAGGCCGGGGGTCAAAGCAGAGGCGTCCCAGCCTCCAGGCACGGACTCCAAGGGCTTACAGGAACCCACCTCCCAGGCGCCCTCTGCACCGGAGGCCCCGAGGGGCAGGGAGCGCTGGGTCCTGGAGGTGGTGGAGGAGCGGACCACGCTGAGCGGAACTCGCTCCAAGCCGGCTTCCCCCAAGCTCTCCCCAGACCCTCAGACACCCATGCTAGCTCCAACGAAGAATGCACCCAGCAGTGCAGGGCCCCCAGCCCCACCCACTTCCCTCCTGGTCCCAGGCACCAAGCCTGAAGTAGGGCTGACTTCCCAGTGCCCTGTTGAAGCTGTGCCTCCAGCAGGCCTGACCAAAAAAGGGGCATCCAGCTCAGCACCCCCAGGTCCATAGCCAAGGAGGCCGTTGGTCCTGTGCTGTACAGCCATCCTATACATATGTACACATATAAATAAAGTGCGTCTGTGCTGTGTGAGCTCTCTGGGGCTCACCCTTTCTCCCCTGGCAAGGGAGACACACGTGCCAGCCCCCATGCCCCTGTGCCCATTTGGAGGTGGAACTCTAGTCCTGGCTACCATGGAAAGGGGAGGTGAATTTTGAGTAGCACACTTATGCACCAGCTGTATCCAGACCCTTAGGAAGAGAAGAGGATGGGGTGTCTAATCTGTGTCCTAATGCCTACCTGAAGAAAAAGTCAATAGCATCATCCAAAGGATTTCCTTTTATTCAACAATCCTGAGTGGCACGTGTTACAATCTCCATTTTGTAGATTTGTAGACTAAGGCACATAATTGAGGTCACACAATTAGGAGGGGGCTAAACTGGGGTTCAAACTCAAGTCCAAACTGGCTCCCAAGCCTTAGTTCTTTGTTCTGCTGACCCTGCTCTATTAGCTACAGGGATCACAGTTTTCCACCAGGGGCTGGAAGGCCTTCCAGAGGGCAGGCAGCTGGGCACACAGTGTGCCTCCACCCCGATATTTTTCTCGGAGGTTCCTATTCATGTCACTCACACAGGCCCAGGGCCCTTCTGGGGCCACACACCATTTGGAGTGGTCCTCTGTGGCATTGAAGCTTGGTCCACTTGGTCCAGGGAAGCTTATCTGGGTCACATCCAGAACGTGTTGGGTCCCTGAACAGTTGGAGGGCAGGGTGCCTCTAGAATTTGGCCAGAACTGGACCTGCAGGTTGCTGCCAAGAGCTGCGGCCAACCAGCCTGAATACAAGTCTGCAGAAAATAGAAAGAGGACATGGCCAGGGGCAGGGCCAATGCTAGAGATTCCCTAGGTCACTCCCTGTCTCTGGGCTAAATTGTCAATTCTCATCAACTGCAAGAATGACAACATTAACATTCATGGCCCTTACCAAAGACTTTATGTGCATCACTTCATTCACAACCATGCTTTAAGGTAGGCATCGGTGTTCCCATTTCCAGACAAGAAAACAGGCTCAGATGAAATCACACATCACACAGCCAGAAATCAAAATCTGAACCCTGATGGTTGTTTACCTCTCATGTGATTATGGCTGCCAAAGAAACCTGATCTTGGCTTGTTCTAAGCCGTGGCTACACCAGATTGCCCTTCCACAAAGAACACACCACCCCTCAGCCTCAAGGCTTACCATCTCCAAACTTTCCAGATTTGGCAAAGCTCTGGAAAGCAGTCCCTGCCTGTGTCACGAGTGTTACACTGCTGTTCCAGGGTTCTTGGGTAACATGGGAGCCACTGACCACTTTCTCCAGGATGGGGAGTTTCCGGGCAATGACACTATCCAGCTTGTGGTCATAGACCTGGGGGTAAGTGTAGGTCAGTTGCCCGCCTGGAGGACAAGGAAGAAGGGAATGTGAGGCTGATCATTCCAACTTTTGATCCGGGAATTTAGACTTACCTTGCTAACTCTACTCACCAATCTCTGAGAACTGGGAAAGGGGAAAAGAAACACAGAGGAGGGTCTGTCCATATGTTTGAGCATTATGAGGCCAGCTGTATGCACCAGAGGAGGAGGGTGGAGGGAAATGTGGCACGCTGTGAACCAGCCAAAAGCCCCCTTCTTGGTCCAGGAGCAGGACGCCTAAACCAGAAGAAAGGGATCAGGGGACTGCTCAAAGTATTCCCCCTCAAGCAAGATTATCTGCATTTTGCATGGGGTCTTGGAGAGGGTGTAGGTAGGGAACAGATACCCACCCTCCATGAGGTCAAATGTTAGCTTGGGAAAAATGCATAAGGAAACAGGGCCCCTCCTTAGCTCCCAGACCAGGACTCACCTTTCGTATGCCCGCGGCTGGAAGAGTCCTGAACTATGCTGGAGTCAGGCGGCTGGTCATTGTAGAGTAGGAAGGCCAGCTGGGATGGGGGATGGGGGAGAGAGGAGTAACCTATAGGTTCCCCCCAGGCGGGGCCTCTCCTAGAGTCTCACACCCAAGTTCGGACAGCATCGTTCACCTGGCTAGTGTTGCCACGATACAGCGGCAGCAGGCTGCGGCCCACGGCCCCTGTGGAGCTGTTAATGGACCCCACGCCGTCGCGCCAGCCCCCTGATTTCTCGTCCAAGTATTTGTACCGCATTCCCCTCCAGACCGCATCCCCAGGGTGGTTGTGGGCTGGCAGCTTGTAGACAACGAACCTGGAGGTTGGGGAAGGCACAGAAAAGGAGAAGGGGTAGAGAAGAAGCTCCACGCTTCATGGAACCACCCAGCAAGCCAGAGGCTCCCGGCGGCTCTCCCGCATCTTGCCCCCGCCCAGCCCCGTGGCCTGCTGGCTCACCAGTCCACCGGCTGCCCCGAGTCCCCATAGCAGCTCAGGGCCCCGGCAGGGACCCACAGCAGAGCGACCAGCAGCAGCCTATTCAGCGCTGCCATGGGGCTGGAATTGAGGAATCTGAGTTGAGACAGGGGGGAACCCGGTCACAAGTTCCTAGAGGCCCTTACTTCCCCAAACCTGGGCGGAAACATCTCCAGGGTGGAGACTCCGCCTCTGAGAACCAACGCAGTGATTTGGAAGGGCAGCCTCCCATCCCCTGCAAGGGCGGGGCTCCCCTCCAGGCGGCGCCTCCCCGCAGGCCCGCCCTCCACAGGGCCAGCCTCAGCCGCAGACTCCGCCCCTCTCCACGCCCCCTTAGGGCAGGGCGGTCTGGTGCCGGGCCTCTGATGGGGCCTCTGTGGGAGTCTCGCCCCGGTTTCTCTCTGGGAGGCTAATCTCAGACCACTCTTCTTTTGGAACCCTCTCTAGCTTCCGCATCTGAATCAGGCACAAGTTTGGGTTTCCCCCACTTTCTTGCCTTGTAATTAGGCCCAGCTCTTGTCACCTATGTTCTCTTAAGGGGACTGATACTCCCCTTCTTCTCTGTTTTCATTTTGCATGTTTTCTCAGGCTCCTCCTCCCCCCCCCCCCCAGCTAGCTGAGTCACCTTGGATCATGATGAAGTTTTGGGGCCAGTCTGAGGATTCTTAAATGGAGGGACACTGTCGTTGTGAATGTCCCCAGAGCTCAAGACAGGATACAGGACGGTGCTTAGTCTTAGAAGTGGAAAGGGGATGACAAAGCCCTGCAGTGCCCGGAAGGCCCAGGTCATCGTTAGTGAGGGGATATCGAAGTTTAGATGAGGACGTGTACCCCCCACCCCATATCACCTCTGGTGGTACAACTTCCTTCCAACTTCCAACCCTCATAATCCAGTCAGGTCAACGAGGAAGCTTTATATAGGAAGGGCATTTTTATAGGACCCATAACCATTCCCAACTGATGTGGAGCTTCAGGAGTATTGGCATGAAGCTCCCTTGCAGGCCCTAGGTCTCTGGGAAACCTCACACCACCCACCTCCCGCTGTCCAGGGCTTCCTGCAAGCTGGTCTGAGTCCCATTTATTTGATGGTCTGTTGCGCTGGGTCTGTGTGACTGTTAGATATTTCTGTGTGGCTCCCTTTGGTTGGAGACTCCCTTAGGTTTGTCTGTGTCAGTTCTTGATCTTTCCGTGGATTTGTGGAGTCCAAACAAGGGTCCTCTGTCCTTGGGAAAACAACCCTGCATGGATCCACTTTTTACATTCCCCAGTTCCCGGCAAGATCCAAGTACCAGGGCAGGGCTTAAAGGTGGCGCTTCATGTGCAAGGCTAGGTGGTCAGAGCGTGAAAAAGCACGCGGGCAGAACTGGCAGCTGAAGGGACGCAGTCCTGTGTGTTTCCGGAAGTGGCGGGTCAGCTCATCAGAGCGTGCAAACTTCCAGCCGCAGCCATCCCACGAGCAGGCATATGGCTTCTCTCCTAAGGGGCAAGGAAGCTGTGAGTGCCACTGTCTGACCCACCGTGTCCCTGGGTCTGCTGCATCAGGTAACATCCCTTTTCTCAGCCTGGGCCAGAACTAGGGTGGGGCAAGTGAGGTATCTAGGGTATAATACTAAAGGAACACTCATTTTCAGGGGCCTGCGGTGTATGCACCCTTCTTCTTCCTCTATACCTCCAATTGGCTCACACACTCTCTCATTTCCTGGGCCCAAGCCTGCACCCTACAACATTGTCCTCACTTCCTATGCCCTAGTACCCTGTCCTAGGACAGCCCCAACCCTGTCCTTCTGTCCTGCCTCCAATAGTCCAGGCCCTTTCTTGCACCAGGGAGCCCTTAGCAGCTGTGTAACCTCGCCCCTGACCTTGGTGTCTGAACCCTGAAATTCACCTCCGTGTTCCAGGCCTTGTGTCCAGTGGTTATGATCTCCTCGCTGCGCTTGAGGGACAGTATACACTTGGCCTAACCCTTGTCTATCACTCCTGGGACCTAACTTCTTCTTCTTCTTTTTTTTTTTTTTTTGTTGTTTTTGTTGTTGTTGTTGTTGTTGGTGGTGGTGGTGGTGGTGATGGGAATTGCAGCAAAGCCCTTAAGCATTCCACTGAGTCACATTCCCAGTCCCTTTTTATGCCTTTTGTCTCCCAGCTCTCCCCTCTTACGCTCTAGACCTGCTTGGATGTCGAGGCCTTTCCTCAGTGAGTCGACCCTGAAACTGATTATACCCATCTTATCCTGCTGGGTCCTAGCCACGCCTCCTACGCGTCTGGTTCAGCCTCAACACCAAGCAAACACGTGCCCGAAACACTGGCCATGGCCTCAGTGGCTCTGGCATTCCAGATTGAACCCTCCCCACAGTCCCTCCTCTAGCTGCACCCCTCGTCCGGACTTCTGCCCCTCCGACCAGCCCTGGCGCAGCTCTTACGAGTCGGCCCCCAGTACTGAAACGCTCCCCCAATTTTCCAGGCCCTTTTTCTGCCCGGTCCTCCTCCAGCGTTGGTGCTGTGCTCTCTGGCTCTGCCCGGGAAGTTCCAGATCTCCTCCCCGCTCACTTGGCCCCGCCCCTTGCTGTGACTCGGCTTTTAGCCCTGCCTCTGCCGTCCAGAACCTGCCCTCCGGCCTGCACTTCGCCTTTAGCCCCCGCGCCCTTCTTAATTTCTCGCTCTGCGGCGGGGCTCTGCTCTGGTGTCCTGTTCTAACCCGGCCGCGCGCCCGGGCCCCGCCCCCTTACCCGTGTGCGTGCGCAGATGCGCCTTCAGGTGGGAGCTCTTGGTGTAGCTCTTGCCGCACCCCGGGTGCGCGCACGTGTGCGCAGCCTGCCTCTTGTGCGTCCACGGGCGCCGACTGCGCTTTGATGGAGCGACGTCTGTAGTTACTCCTGAGTCTCCTGCGGAGCCCCCGAGTCCTGTGCCCACCGTCCCGGGTCCCAGGCAATTCAGATAGGATGGGGTCGCGACCGGGGCAGGCGAAGGCGCCGGGAGACCGGGGAAGAACTGGAAGTGCCCTTGATACTGCGGCGCTGGGTACAGCGCGGGATACCCCGATAGCAGCCCGTAGGGGGCGCCCGGAGCCGCGGGCACTGAAAACCCGGTCCGCGGGAAGTAGCTACCCGAGGAGCCCGCACCTGACCCTGGGTACATTGGCTGCAGCTGCAGTGCCTTGGGCTCGGGGGCCGGGGCCAGGGCTGGTGCCACTAAGGGGTTGGGAGCTGTCGCCCCCTGGGCAGGGCGAATCCAGCCTGCCTGCTCCTCGGAGCCCAAGAGCCCAGCCGAAAACTCCGAGCCGCCGGCATACGGGCCCAGAGTCTCAGGCGGCGGTGGGAATTGCGCCCCGGGGCCCTCACTGGACGTCAGAGCACAGGTCCGGGGCTCACCGCCCGGCTCCGGGCCCGGAAAGTTGGTGAGCAAAAGACTCAGGTCCCAGTCGGCGGCCGCGTCCTTCTCATTGTCCTCATTCTCCCTAGGCTGGTCTTCCGACTCCATGCCCACGTAAAGGGGTGGCCCCGTGTGGTCGGGGGGACCCGGACCCATGTCCTGTGCCTCCTCGGAACGCCACCACTGGAGAGGGAGCACACAGCTTAAGACTTGAGCAGACACCGGGGTACTTTACCCAGGGACAGTGGCTGGCCAGAGGCTTCTGAAAGGGGACTTGTCTGACTGTCATACCCCAAACTACCCCCCTAACTCTCCTTCAGCTCCAAAGACAGAGGTCCATAGGTCTGTCTGGAGAGAGAAGATAAGACTTCCTTTATCTGCAGCCATATTCAGGATGGGGGAAGGGTGGTAGAACTGGGGATGGGAAGCTGAGTTGGGGAAACCCAGCCTTGACTCAGTTGCCCCCCAGATCCTCCCTCTCCTTCCCCATCTCCTAATAAGATTAAGTCCCAAGGCCTGGAAAAACCCCAGATAGCTTTACTCTTTCCAATTGATATCGGGGACATTGTCTGTCCTTCTGAGCCTAAACACTCAAGGGGTTCATCTCACACCTCAGTTTTCCGTTTCAGAAATAGGCCCCATCCCAAACCTCAGAACCCCCTAGACCTGGATGGAGGAGAATACCAAGGCAAAATGCAGGCCTAACCGCCCCCCCCCAAAAAAAAAAAAAAAAAAAAAAACCTGTGGCCACAGCACTGACTTGTGGACAGCCCACCTGGATCCCACCTGACCCCACCTTAAGGAAGTCCTCCTGGGTGTCCGGGAAGGGGCCCAGGGTCGTCAGCGTGCTGATGGAGGGCAAGGCAGTCTCAGCTGTGGCCATGGCTGGCTGGTGCTCACCCTGCACCTCAGGCCTCCTCTCCCTTGGCTGCCTCGTGGGCTCTGAGGCTCTCTGGGCCCCTTGGAGGGCTCCTCTCAGCCCTCAGCTGATTGGCTGCAGCCCTTGATAAGGCACAGACAAGGCAGGGGTCACTGTTTCAGGGGAACGGACCTCACCTCCTACTGTTTGGGGCTGGGCCTGAAAGACTGATTCTGTTTTCAAAGCTAAGTCAGATGTCGGTGGTTGGGGGGGTCCTGGGATTGAGGGTGCAGGTGTTGGGTAAAGAGGCACTGAGTTCTCAAAAAGGGAGAAGCTTGGAGGCCTGCTCTCAGTTTACCTTTCTGGAGAAAGGGCAAGTGACAGAATGCATATTCTGTGAAGGGGCTGTGGGACCCCCTTGTTCCCCAAGTAGGACTCTGCAGCCCTTCCCCTCCCCAATAAACAGCAGCAACCGTGCTGATGGCGGGACTTGGCACGAACTCCCTGCCAGGCATTATCAGACACACCAGATGTCGGAGGTTGCTATCAGGTGGGGGCCCAGAACACCCAGAGCTGTGTCCCCAGTGAGGGGGAGGGCTGGAGGGTGGGTCTGCAAACTAGCTTGGTTTCATACTGACTGGGATGTGAGCTCTCAGGGTCTGAACCCTGTGGTGGGAGGGAGCCCCTGCCAATCAGCCAACCATTGCCTACCACTGACTCTCAGTGGGCACTGCATGGAACTATGGGGAAGGGGAGGCTGGTGCAGTTACAGTTGTTTCAAGGTGATGGGGGCAGGGATGGGATGTTGGATCAAGCAGGAGACCCAAACCCTGGCTCTGGGCCTGGCCACTGCTCGATGAATGAACCACACTGAGGTTCTGCAAGAGAGGCCTCCACTCTGGTGCCTGGGGAGCTTGGACAGGCACACAACCTCACGCCCCAGAAACAGTTCCTAGCTCACATAGCCATGCAATTACATAGTGACACAAGTTCCTGATCTCTTAGTCCAGGAAACCACACAGAAAGTAGGGTTTCTGTACATATACAGTCATCTTTCCATATCCACAGGGGATTGGTTCAGGACCCCCCTCCCAGATTTTAAAATTCACAGATGTTCAAGTCCCTTATACAAATGGCACTATTTGTATAGAATCTTCTTACAGCCTTTAAATACTTTAAATCATCTCCAGATTAATTATAATACTTAATGCACTGTAAATGCTATGCAAACAGTTGTTGATACTATATTGCTTAGCATTGCACAATATTTACAGACACAATCCTGAGATGCAGAATTCATAATGACAGGTGCTGAAAAAAAATCCCAGTTACACAATTCCACTGATACAGTTTGGCCACAACCAAGTAGACACACGGAGATTCCTGGGTATGTTGTTATTATAACTATTGACGTCAAACAACCCCCTAAAACAGAGGTGGCCTCAGACACAAAAAAATAAAACGTGGCTGCACACAGCTGTCCACAAACATAGCGATGGAGTCATGCACACAACCATACATCATAAAATCACAGACATCCTCCCCAAAACCTGCACTTTAAATAGCACACTACCTGCCCCAGACACAATATGTAGCCACAAATTTAGAGTTACCATTGCCCAACCATAGGGGGCGCAAGCAGCCAAGCACAGACAATCACAGGGACATGGAATCAAACATCCTAATACAGAACACAGCTTCACCCAGACACGGATGTGTCACCACAGACCAGTCATAGTGTGCCATAAACACATAACACAAAAAAGACAAAAAAAAAAAAAAAAGAGCTGGGCGCGGTGGCATTCACCTGTAAGCCCAGTGGCTCAGGAGGCTAAGACAGGAGGATTGTGAGTTCAAAGCCAGACTCAGCAATGGCAAGGTGCTAAGCAAGTTAGTGACACCCTGTCTCTAAATTTATATATATATATATATGTATATATATATATATATATATATATATATATATATATATATACACACACACACACACACACACTAATAATAAAATTTAAAAAAAAATTTTGCATACCCTGGGGTAGAAGGGAAAGGCAAAAAGGAGGGTTGGTACAACTACTGGGATGGCTGTAATTTTTTTAAAATGGAAAATAGCCAGGCACAGTGGTGCACACCTGTAGTCCCACGTACTTGGAGGCTGAAGCAGGAGGATCACTTGAACCCAGGGCTTGGAGACCAACCTCGGCAACACAGCCAGATGCCATCTCAAAATATAATAGAGCTGGAGGTGCAGCTCAGGACCAGAGTGCATGCATAGCATGCACAGGGCCCTGGTTTAATCTCCAACACTGTGAACTAGATAATAAAGAGAATTATAAGAACAAAATGGAAGTGTTGGTGAGGACGTGGAGAAATCAGAACCGTGGGAAATCACACTGTTGGTGGTACAGCCACTATGGAAAACAGGTGCTTTTTGCTTATTTTGTTTTGTGGCGGGGGATTGAACCCAAAGCCCCACACACTGAACTACATCTCCAGCCCTTTTTATTTTTTGAGACAGTCTTGCTAAGTTCTTGAGGCTGGCTTTCATGAACTTGCAGTGCTCCTGCCTCAGCCTCCCAGGTAGCTAGGATTACAAGTAAATGCCACCTCACCCAGCTGGAAAAGTTTATTTATTTATTTATTTATTTATGTTACTTTATTTATTTTTCTGTGGTGCTGAGGATCGAACCCAGTGCCTCACACGTGCTAGGCAAGCGCTCTACCACTGAGCCACAACCGAAGCCCTGGAAAAGTTTGATGGTTCCTCAAAAGTTAAAAATGACCCAGCCAGCCAAATTACATGCCTGTGCTAATGAATTTTACACTTTAAAATGGTTAATGTGATGTGTATTTCATCTCAGTGAAACAAACTGATTGTAACTGGAGTGGTTTCCTGGAGAGGAAGGCAAAGTTTCTCTTGGGGAGAGATCTCTGTTTAAGATAAGGCACTACACAGACATGTTTGGCTCTTCAAGATGAGGCAAGAAGACAGGGGTCTAGGGGTTAGGTGACATCTGGTTGGGAAACAAAGTTCCTTGGAGTGTGTGGCCAGGAGGAATGATAGATTTCCTAGAGCAGCCAGGTTAGAATCTCAACTTGGGTTTTCCAGCATGTATGTTGTCATCGCTCCTTAACCCCTAATGAGCATCAGAGAACTCCAACGCCCCATACCAGCACCAGGGAAGGAGGCTTTGGTGGAAAGGAGGAGAGAAGCCACTAGCTACAGGAGGAGGGAGGTGACCAGGAGACCTGTGTGGAATCCCAGGCATTTCAGGGTAGTGATGGATTTCCTGCTGTGTGGGAAGAAGGACTGGAACCATTTTATTTGGATATTAAGAGTGAGAAGGGGGCTGGGGATGTGGCTCAAGCGGTAATGCGCTCTCCTGGCATGCACAGGGCGCTGGGTTTGATCCTCAGAACCACATAAAAATAAAATAAAAAGGTGTTGTGTCCACCGAAAACTAAAAAATAAATATTATAAAAAATTCTAGGGCTGGGGATGTGGCTCAAGCGGTAGCGCGCTCGCCTGGCATGCGTGCGGCCCGGGTTCGATCCTCAGCACCACATACAAAGATGTTGTGTCCGCCGAAAACTAAAAAAAAATAAATATTAAAAAATTCTCTCTCTCTCTTAAAAAAAAAAAAAATTCTAAAAAAAAAAAAAAAAAGAGTGAGCAGGGCCCAGAAGGTGAGAGGGTCCAGGGGGACGTAGGCCCCAGACACTTGGGGATAGGCAGGCCAATGATCACATTCAGACACAATCCCACACTAAGTCAGAGATGATGTGAGAAGCAGGGCCCACCAAATAACATCACTCTCTAGAGTGTCAATGTGGTTGGCAAGGGCCCTGGTTAGGCCCACTGTGACACTGAGCAAGGCCCTCCTGCTTTCTGGGCTTTCTTCAGTTGGTGAACAGGCAAGTCACAGTAGATGTGTAACTGTAAGACAGAGGACATGGTCAGGCACTCAATTCCCAGATTCAAATGCATGACACACAAATGCTTCTTAAAGAGACCTAGTAGGCTGTGGATATAGCTCAGTTGGTAGAGTGCTTGACTCGCATGCACACGGCCCTGGGTTTAATCCATAGCACAACAACAACAAAAGAGATCTAATGAGTGCAGCTGCTCACTTAGGCACAGATGTATCACACTTGGACACATAACCACACAAAACGGCATACAGATATACAACCACAGACTAATACACAAATAGCAGTCATATGATCACAGAAATAAGGGCAGGGGTGTTGCTCAGTGGTAGAGTAAGTGTTTAGCATTCATGAGGGTGTGGGTTCAATCCCCAGCACCAAACAAACAAACCCCAAAGATAACAGCCACACCTGAAAGGAAAACCACTGAGTCTCACACACACAATCACACAGAATATCACTGCAAAAGCTTGTACACAGACAAGAAAGCACAAAGACATTCAGCTACACTACACTGACAGACACAGTCACAGAGAGTTTACACCTGGACACAACCCCCAGTCAACTGAGACATAAAAACATAAAGACATGACACAAGCATTATCGCAATCACTCTGACACAATCATATACAGATTCTGGTCATCTCAGAATCACATGTCCACAGGTCAGGCACAGTGACTCAAGAGGCTGAGATTAGAGGATCACAAGTTGAAGGCCAGCTTCAGCAATTTAGCAATGCTTAATTAACTTAATGAAAGCTTTTCTCAAAATTAAAAAATAAAGGGCTGAGTATGTGCATATATATATATATATATATATATATATATATATATGCACGAGCGCGCACACAAACGTATTTGTAAAGCCAACTATTAATAGGATTATACCTACACACAATTACAACCACAGAACATAAGCAGAATCATATAAGAGAAAAGCACAATCAATTCCACAGAATATACACCTATGCAGAAATAATCACAGAAACACACAGTTACAATATCACACAAATTTCCAGAGAAACACAATCCCATACACACAGCCGCTAAGGCAGAATCCAAATGCACCATCCCGAGCCTCAGAACGCCACATGCATACAGTCAGTCCCACCTTCATACAGATGGCACATTCAGGCACAATCACAGCAGACGCACAGTCACACAAGATCTCCCACACGTAGCTACACGTGTTTCCTGGGATAGACTGGCAGACAGTTGGGCTAGGGTCTCCCACTCGCAGGCCACCTTCCCCTCGATGGGAGTTCCAAGACTTTCTCCCCTTGTGCCTAAGTTTATTTATTCAACTCCAGGATCCCTCCTCACACGCCCCCTGCATCTGGGGCCAATCAGAACACGAATACTACTGGCCAATCGGCTTGGCGCACTCGCCTTCCGCCCCTTCCCTGTTCCGCTTCTTAAAACGGCCAACCTGCCTAGACCTGGGCGCGCCTGCTTCCACCCGGAGGGCGGCCGTAGCCCCTTTAAAAGGCAGAGCCACGGAGGAGCCGTGTCTAAGAGGAACCAATGGGAAAACCCGTTCTGTGTCGGCTCCGCCCACCTGCGGCTGAGGTCAAAAGCTTTGGTCAATTGCTTTGCCACCTCCAGGGAGCCTTTCGGCACTGGGTGCGCTAGGGGCCAACTTCGCTGGTGGGAGCCTTTTGCCCCCGCTCTTCCATCTTTGCATCGCTCGCCCCTTGCTGATTTCATGGCCCTGAAGGGCGTCTCCCTGCGGTTGCTGAGCCGCTGGCCCCGCCTGCGCGTCCTGCGCACTTGGGGCTCGGCGGCTGTGCACACTGGTCAGTGTCCGGGTGGGATGGGGAAGGAAGAATTGGGGGTTCGGGAACGTTTCCTATGTAACTTTTACGTTGTGTGTTTGCAGAGAAAGGAGGGAGGACACAGAGTCAACCGGCCACATGTAAGGATCTTTAGTCACACAGTTGTTCTTCGGCCCCTGTCCAGCTATCTGCCTGCCCCAGGTGGACTCTGCCCCTGAATCCGAGGGCTGCCCAGGAGGGGAGGCAGGGGCATGCTCAAGGTCAAAGGCGCTAAGATTATGGGTGCACTGTCCCTTCAGGATCGGAGAATGGTCACTTTTGTTAGTCCTGTTTGCAGCCCACATCCTCAAGGAGCGAGTTAGAGGGGAAGGGGAGCTGCTTAAAGATCAGTGAAGAGGTGGGCTGGGCTGAATCAATTCCCAACCCACCTCAGCCTCTTGTCCTGAGTTTGACTGGCGTGACCCACTGGTGCTGGAGGAGCACCTGACAGCAGATGAGATCCTCATCAGGGACACTTTCCGCACCTACTGCCAGGAGCGTCTTATGCCTCGAATCCTGCTGGCCAATCGCAATGAAGGTGCCTAGTGGTCCGGTGGTGATCCCTTCCTCACTGAAACTCTATCCTCTGCCATTTATACCAGTTCTGCCTACTCTAGTATCTGGGCTTTTCTGTCTCTGGACCTGTCTGAACTCAGACATCTGTCCCTTCACAGTTTTTCATCGAGAGATCGTCAATGAGATGGGGGAGCTGGGTGTTCTGGGACCTACCATCAAAGGTAGGGACAAATTTCTCTCTGTACTTTGTAGACCTCACTTTGTCCCATAGTCCTTCCTTTCCATGAGCCACAGTTTCTTGATCTAAAATGGGACTGGTTATCCCTCCTTTCGAAAGCAGCTGTGGGATGAGATGAGTAAACCCCCAACTACAGCCAGCTCCCTGCCTGCCTCCTTGGGTGCCCAGATGTAGCATTCTCTCTTGGGTCCCAGAAGTCCCTTGTCCTGGCTGGACTGGGATTTGGCCTTTCTTATCCTACCTGATCTTCCTCATGCCTCCAGGGTATGGCTGTGCTGGGGTCTCATCTGTGGCCTATGGGCTCTTGGCCCGAGAGTTGGAGCGGGTAGACAGCGGCTACAGGTCCATGATGAGCGTCCAGTCCTCCCTTGTAATGCAACCTATCTATGCCTATGGCAATGAGGAGCAGCGGCAGAAGTACCTGCCCCGGTTGGGTGAGTGGCGGCTATCTGTGGGGCCTGGTGGAAGGAAGACAGACCCTGTGATCTGGAATGCAGAAATGTGGCCTACCTCTTTCCCCATCTCAATGATTGTACCATCTGGTTGTGGTGGCACACACCTGATAATTCTGGGAGGCTGAGGCAGAAGGAGCCTAAGGTCAAGGCCAATGGGCAACTTAGTGAGACCCTGTCTCAAAAGTAAAAAATCAAAAGGTTAGGGGTGTAGCTCAGTGGTAGAGTGCTTGCCTAGCATGTGGGAGGCCCTGGATTCATTTTCTAGTACAGCAAAAGAAAGAAATGGCACCATTGACCACCTGAGTCTCTCTGAAAAGGCTCTGGGATCACTTGGATCACTCACCAGTCTTGACCATCTCCTCTTAGATCTGTCTTGTCTCCTGATTTGCTTTCTGTGTTCCAAATCCCAGACCACAGCGTAAAGTCTTAACTTTCTAACCATGTCCATGAGACCCCCTGCATGACCAGGCCTCTGCTCACATTTCCACCTAATTTCTGGCCACTCTTTCAATTGCTCCTCCTCAGCCAGGCTCAGCTGCTTAGGATTCTTCAAAAGTACCCCTGGGCCTTTGCCCATCCCATTCCTTCTGCCAGGATCTATCTTCTTCACACTCTCCTCCTGTGTAACTTCTCGGTGCCTTCAGGACACTCACCAGCTCCTTCCTGATTCCCTGGGGCCCATTCTCCAGCATGGCATTGTGATGATGGTCTGGGAGAACCATTTCTTCTACCACCTGGGAGTGCTGGCAAGGCAGGGCCTGACCCACCTTGGTCAAGGAGCCTGGCTCAGTGGGGAAACTGGTAATTTTTGTTTGAGAGGGTGAATGTTGTCTCAGCAGCCCTGTGACTCTGTTTTGTGCCTGCAGCCAAAGGGGAGCTTCTGGGCTGCTTTGGGCTCACAGAGCCCAACCATGGGAGTGACCCTGGCAGCATGGAGACCAGGGCCCACCATAACCCATCTAACAAGAGCTATACTCTCAGTGGGACCAAGACCTGGTGAGAGGCCTGGGTGTTGGGCAGGCAGGTGGATAGGGCAGGGGGTCAGCAGCCAGTCCTCTTACTGACTGTCCTGTCCCTAGGATTACCAACTCCCCTGTGGCTGACCTGTTTGTAGTGTGGGCTCGGTGTGAAGACAACCGCATTCGGGGCTTCCTTCTAGAGAAGGGGATGCGGGGCCTCTCAGCCCCGAAGATTGAAGGCAAGTTCTCGCTGCGGGCTTCTGCCACAGGCATGATCATCATGGATGGTGTGGAGGTGCCAGAGGAGAACCTGCTGCCCAACGTGTCTGGCCTGGCGGTGAGTAGTGGACACTTGGGTAAACTGGTGTCAGGTCACCTTCTGGTTCACCTTTCTCAGGCAAGGATTGAACACACACACTGTCCCTGTGCTTATAGAGCATAGAGTGGTGATTCTGAGGCTCAAACTGACTCACTAATGTGATAATGTCCTTTTTGGCTGACCGTCTTGCTTATCTTGGTTCTTCCCAGGACACCTGCAGGCCTGCACCAGCCTAAGCCTCATAGTCATGGTCATCTTTCAGTCTCCTTATGCCAGCCTCCTAGGTCTGAGCTCTGAATCCAGGTCCCAGGCTGGGTAGGAGTGCGCAGATCCAGAGTGGGCAGGCACCGGGCCAGGCCTGCTGCACCGGAGCTTTGCTGCCAGGGCCCTGTGTGATTTAAATGGCTGCTGGGTCCCTGTCTGGGGTGTCTGGGAGGGAGTTTTCCCCTGCTTCAGAGTTGGTTCTGCACCCACCACCCTTAACCCACCACCTCAGCCCCACCACCCTCAACCCTACAGGGTGCCTTCAGCTGCCTCAACAATGCCCGATATGGCATCACGTGGGGCGTGCTGGGAGCCGCCGAGTTCTGTCTGCACACAGCCCGGCAGTACACCCTGGACAGGTGTGTGTGGCATTTATGCTGTGAGATTCCTGGGGGTGTGAGGGGTCTTGGGATCCATCTTGTACCCAGTGATGATTCTCCAGTTCCTGCCCTTCTCTGTGAATTCCTTCTGCGCAGTGAAGGGCTGAGTCCACAGTTGGGCCATGGTGAGCTCCAGGGACAGGTGGGCTTCCTGGAACAGTGGGGCCTTGGGATGAGACCAGGGAGTGGGCATCCCTCCAGCCCTTACCTGATCTTACCTGTTCAGGATCCAGTTTGGTGTACCATTGGCCAGGAATCAACTAATTCAGAAGAAGTTGGCAGACATGCTCACTGAGATCACACTGGGCCTCCATGCCTGCCTGCAGCTTGGCCGCTTAAAGGATCAGGACAAGTAGGGGCCTCAAATTGGGGGAGGCAGCTATGGTGGGAGGACTCTGTGCCCCTCCTGGGAAGAAGGCCCTTCCTCCCTAATAGTTCCAGGGACCCATGCTTCTCTTTCTCTTGGCCTTCATGGACTGGGCCAGGAATGGCCTTGGTCCCTTATTGGGAGCTTGGTGGCTACACTAGGGAGTTCACCCTCCCACTGGCTGGGTTTGCTCAGGGCATCAGTTCTTTGTAACTGTTGCTTGTTACATGTATGTGCCACTTCCAGGGCCACCCCGGAAATGGTCTCCCTGCTGAAGAGGAATAACTGTGGGAAAGCCCTGGACATTGCCCGCCAGGCCCGAGACATGCTTGGGGGGAATGGGATTTCTGATGAGTATCATGTGATCAGGCATGCCATGAACCTGGAGGCTGTGAACACCTATGAAGGTAGGGGCTGGACCCTTGGCTGGGACAGGGGTGGGGTGTCACAGTGGCCTTCTCAGTGTCTTGGGACAATGTTTGCATCCTACTCCAGCTATAAGCAAGTGGCAGTGTGACGGGGGTCAAGTCACGGGCCTCTGTCTCTCATCCAAAGTTGCTCATGTGGCCACACACTGCATGGCATCGAGGTCCCAGCAGGCCCTATGTGGACTTCTGGCCCTTTCTCCCATTGTGCTAAGGAGAAGGGTGTTCCTCAGACTGATGGACAGCCTCCACAGGCATCCCCAGAGTGAGGGCAATCCCTGAGGGCTGGGGGTGCAAGGGAGAGAGGGTGAAGCAACATACAGGAATTACCATCCTACTTGATGTTCAGAGATAAAGAAAAGTCATTTGTAGACTGTGATGTTTGCACCTTGCAATTGGATATTGCTCACACTGGGTCCTGGACTCCTGACTCGGTGGGAAGACAGATGTAAAGAAAAGATAATTGAAAAGGAAAAAAAAGGGGGGGCTGGGTGTGGCGGCGCATGCCTGTAATCCCAGCAGCTCCAGAGGCTGAGGCAGGAGGCTCATAAGTTCGAAGCCAGCCTTAGCAATTTAGTGAGATGCTAAGCAACTCAGCAAGGCCCTGTCTCTAAACAGAATACCAAAAAGGGCTGGGGATGTGGCTCAGTAGTTGAGTGCCCCTGGACACTAAATCCCGGAACCAATAAATAAACAAATGGAAAAAAAAGCACAGTCCATTGCAAGCCATGTAGAAATAGAGTTCCCCAATCCAAGAAGCTTTTAGACAGAAGAGATGGCATGTGTGGGAATGAATGTCTTCCCAACGCACCCCCAGACTAAGGAACCAAGGGGAGGTCCTGCAGCCCCACATATTGTTTCTGTCAAGCAAGGGTGGGGGATCCCACAGTGTGAGGATGACCCTGAGGATAAGCAGAGGGACCTGCACAGGGTCTTACACAGCAGAGGGAGGGGTCAGAAGTGGGCTTTGGGAAGTCAACAGTGCGATTCGACTCTGTAAAAGGAAGGCCTAGACCCAGCTATTGCCCTTCTTGGACTATTCCCTGAAGACCTTAAAAGAGTGTACTATAGGGATACTGCCACATCGATATTCATAGCAGCACAATTCACAATAGCTAGACTGTGGAACCAACTTAGATGCCCTTCAATAGATGAATGGATTAAAAAATGTGGCATTTATACACAATGGAGTATTACTCAGCACTAAAACATGACAAAATCATGGAATTTGCAGGGAAATGGATGGCGTTAGAGCAGATTATGCTAAGTGAAGCTAGCCAATCCCTAAAAAACAAATGCCAAATGTCTTCTTTGATATAAGGAGAGCAACTAAAAACAGAGCAGGGAGGAAGAGCATGAGAAAAAGATTAACATTAAACAGGGACGAGAGGTGGGAGGGAAAGGGAGAGAGAAGGAAAATTGCATGGAAATGGAAGGAGACCCTCATTATTATACAAAATTACATATAAGAGGATGTGAGGGGAAAGGGAAAAAAAATCAAGGGAGAGAAATGAATTACAGTAGATGGGGTAGAGAAAGAAGATGGGAGGGGAGAGGAGGGGGGATAGTAGAGGATAGGAAAGATAGCAGAATACAACAGTCACTAGTATGGCAATATGTAAAAACGTGGATGTGTAACCGATGTGATTCTGCAATCTGTATACGGGGTAAAAATGAGAGTTCATAACCCACTTGAATCTAATGTATGAAATATGATATATCAAGAGCTTTGTAATGTTTTGAACAACCAATAAAAAAAATACAGGAAGGACAAAAAAAAAAAAAAAAAAGGGAGGCCTAGTCTCTGCCTCTGCCTGCTGAAAGCTGGGGAAGGTCATGTGGGCCACTCTAGGAGGGACAGCTTCAGGCTGGGGGATCAGCCTGGACGAGGGACTGCTTTCTGATATTGTTTTCCTGTCCCTCCTGGGGATGGGAAAGAGTCGTCGTATTTTCACATAGCCAAAAGGCTCAGCCTCTGACATGGGAGGCATGGCTGGATTGAAAATCAAATGTTTAATCAACTGGGGCATCGTGTGGGGTGGGGCGAATTTGCCAAGAGTGGGGAGCACTAAGGCTGGGCCCATAGCGAGGGCTAGACTTGCTGCATTACTGGATCTAGCACAAGGAACTTGGGTTATCTTTTTATTGTTTTGGCCAAAATATGTTACAGAACTGTGAAAAACAATCTTCTCTGCATGGCCCAACAATGGCCTCTTGGTGGCTGTCACTAAGATGTAAGTGAATCTCCCAGCAGTGGTTAGCATTCATCATCTCTGTAGGTCTGTTCTTCTGGAATTGTGACCTAGGGGGACATGAAGACTAACTTTAAAGGGAAGTCACAGGTTCTAAGACTCCAAGCCCACTCTTTACTAATCTCGTCCAGGTACACATGACATTCACGCTCTGATCCTTGGAAGAGCAATCACAGGAATTCAGGCGTTTACAGTTGGCAAGTGAACCCACTTCATTGGAGGACCTGGATGCTCTGAAGCCCCTTCCTGGAGAGATGTTTGGCTGAACCCTGGGACCACTGTGCTGTAGATGGTGGTAAATGGACCCAACTTGTATGATGGGAACTACTGACATACTGATTTTTAAATATCAAAGTTTCCCTTTGGAAATCATCCAGAAGTGTTTCTTAAAAAGAAGATGGGATTCTCAGTGTTTCTCAATTCACTTTTAACTGTGGATGAGGTCAGATTCCATTTACCTTAAGACAGAAGCTTCTCCTGATGGGGTGGAGCAGGGAGGAGGAGGAGAATGACTCTGTAGCAACTTCATCAAGACCAACCTCGAGTTGCCCTGAGCAGACCCCAGACCCCAAGAGGGTGCTTCGGGGCTCACTGTGCCTTCCTACCCTCCCATCCCTGGGCAGTGCCTTATTTATGTTGGATACTGGAGCAGAACAAGGGAAAGGAGAATAAAGAGCCTGCACAGCTGACCCCACAGTGTTCGGCCATGTTTACTGGTAACTACTGGTAACCACTGCAAAGAAGTTTGGGGAGTTTCTCAGGGGAGAGGGCAACAAAGCTGGGGGCTTTGAATTGTTGGAATAGGGCGGGGACCTTGCACTGGAGTGGCCTGGCCCATTTCTGAGTCTAGGATCTGCTGTAATCAATAAACTTGGATGAGGCACTTCCTAGGCCCCAGGGCATATGCCAGGCTGCAGGGCTCAGCGCTGTGGGTAGAGGGAACAGTTGCCGACTGGCAGGATTACACTTTGTCCTTTCTGTAGCCACACAGTGATGAGAAGTGACAGTGGTTTGGTTTCTCAGCTTGGACACACTGTTTTGGGGGCCACAGGGTTCTGTAGGGCGTGTGGCCCTGTTGTTAGGGCTGGGCAGTGGACTCCTGTCCACATTCACTCCCAGTTTAGCCATTACAAGTCCCCTTCCTCAGGACAGCCCCCAGCCCCACCCTGTGAGGATGTCACTCCCACCTCAGGCTGGACGCACAGGTCTTTGTACACAGACTCTACAGTGTGGCAGACTTCTTTGAGCTCTGTTTCCAGATTGCTGATCTTTGCCATTTTCTGGGTGAACTCTTGGAGCCTCTCCTGGATGATCCTGCTGTGGTGGTTGTAAACCTGGTACATTCTCTCCTCTAACTTCTCTGTCAGATCGGTGACCTTTAAAAGAAAAGTGTTCTTGGAAAATCAAACAAGCAGCATACTATACATCTGTTCTAAGTGGGTCTTTTAGAATTCTGCAATTTATTAAAATGGTACAAAGAATTCCAGTGATAGAAGTAAAATTGCCTACATATTAAATTTTTCATTTTTTAAAACAAAATGCTAAAGTACAGGTAACAGCTGGGGTAACAGCTCGTGGTCGAGCACTTGCCTAGCACTCAGGAGCCTTGGGTTCCATCTCTACCACTGCAAACAAGAGTAGGTACGGTCAGCCCTTCACACCTGCTAGTTCCACATCCAGGGATTCACCCCATGGATCAAAAATATTTGAACAAGGGGCTGAGGCCGTAGCTCAGTGGTAGAGCACTTGCCTAGCATGCATGAGGCACTGGGTTCGATCCTCAGCATTGCATAAAAATAAACAAATAAAATAAAGCCATTCTCTCCATCTACAACCACAAAAAAATTTAAAAATATTTGAACAATTACATCTGACTGAACATGTACAGACTTTTTCTTGTCATTATTCCCTAAACATTAGAGTATAACAACTCTTTACATGGCATTTACATCGTATTCAATATTAACAGTCATCTAGGGATGATGTGAAGTCGATAGGAGGATGTGTGCAGGTTCTATAAAATTGTTCCACCATTTGACATAAGAGACTTGAACATTCATACATTTTGATATATTTTGGGGGTCCTGGAATAAATCCTACTGTAGATACCAAAGAATGACTAGATGGAATTTGAAAATAAAAAGGTCTGACTAAGGGACCCAGGAGCACTGCAAGTTCATGGACTCTGCCTACTGTAATTCTTAAGAGGCACAACCATTAATGTCAGACCTGAGCATAACATCAGACTGTGTCAGACATAAGCCCCAGGAGTATTGGGGGAACCTCTGTCCTGTCACAAACCACTGACAACTTCCAGAGCACACAGGTGTGATGAGCTATTAACGGTTCCTACTCCTGCTGCTGTTCACATTTGTGTGAGGTGAGAGGCTGGGTTTGGCAGATGGACCTGGTTCCCTCACTAGGGCAAATCCTTTTTCCTTTTTCTTTTCTATTTTTGGTGATGCTGGGGATTGAGCCCAGGGTCTTGCGCATGCTAGGTAAGAGTTCTACCAACTAAGCCTTTTATTTTCTTTAAAATTTTTTTTTTTTAATTTGATGGTGCTGAGGATCAAGCCTAGGGCCTCATGTATGCTAGGTAGGTGCTCTACTACTGAGCCACACCCCCAGCCCAAATCACTTATTTATTGGGGTACCAGGGATTGAACCCAGGCATATTTGGCCTCTGAGCCACATCTCCAGCTCTATTTTGTATTTTTTTTTTTAAGGGTATCAGGAATTGAACTCGGGCACCAACCACTGAGTCACATGCCCAGCCCTATTTTGCATTTCATTTAGAGACAGGGTCTTACTGAGCTGCTTAGCACCTCACCATTGCTGAGGCTGGCTTTGAACTCATGATCCTCCTGTCTCAGCCTCCCAGATGCTGGGATTATAGGCGTGCGCCACTGCGCCCGGCTCAGATGATTTATTTTTGAACTTTACTTTTCTCGTCTGAAATGGGTCCCATCTCTTGATTGTTGTAATGGTAGAATGAGATACTGTGTGTGAATTGCCTAGCACAGTACCTAGAATGTAACAGAGCCCAGCTAAGGTGCCTTCCCTCCCCTTTTATATGAGGAACACCCCCAGTCCCATTATGGAAAGTCTGTCACCTTGATCTTGAGGCTGTCCCTGAAGTTGGTCATGAGTGCATGATCCTTTTGCCTGCTCTCGTTGATGTTTTCGATCAGTTCCTGGGCTCTTTTCTTCAGGATATCAATGCTTGACTCCAGAGAGGAGAAGTAGGGTACTGGCTTTCCTTCCAGCGCGGGCAGCTGGCGGTTGGCACTGGAGGTGGAGACACACAAGGGCCAGAAACCTGACTTCATGTAGTACAGGAAACTGAGATCAGACCCAGACTCTCTCCCAAGAGTGGCTGATCTGGTCTGGGGATGTAGCTCAGTGGTACAGTGTGAGCTTAGCATGCATGAAGCCTCAGAACTGGAGGGAAAAAAGACAGACTTATCTGAATGAGCTCTACAGTGGGAAAAGCCCTAAAGTTATTGACCCTGTAAGGCATTCCTGGCAATTTCCTTAAGTTATTTCATTCATGCCCTGAAGAATGGAGTTGGCATCCCATTTAATAATTGAGAAAACAGACCCAGAGGTGCAAACTAAGTATGTCCAAGGTTCCAAGACAGGATCTGTTGCTGTTGTTTTATTACACCAACTGCCCTGCCCCCCAGTTCTGTGTGGATTGAAAGCAGAGCTAGTGTTCTATCACTGACTGTGTCCTCAGCCCCTTTTCAAAAAAATTCATTTTAAGCTGGGCAGGTGATGCACACCTGTGATCCCAGCAGCTCAGGAGGCTGAGACAGGAGGATCTCAAGTTCAAAGCCAGCCTCAGCATAAGCGAGGTGCTAAGCAACTCAGGGAGACCTTGTCTCTAAATAAAACACAAATTAGACTTGGGGATGTGATTCTGTGGTCAAGTGCCCCTAAGTTCAAACTCCAGAACTACCCCCACCAAGAAAAGTTATAATTAAGCCAGGCCTGGTGGTGCACACCTGTAATCCTGGTGACTCAAAGCCAGCCTCAGCAACTCCACTAGACCCTGACTCAAAATAAAAAAATAAGAAGGGCTAGGGATGTGATTCAGTGGTTAAGCACCTCTGAATTCAATCCCTGGTAGCAGGTCTGGGCATTGTGGTGCATGTCTGTAATCCCAGCTGCTTAGAAGTCCAAGGCAGGAGGATTACAAGCTTGAGGCCTGTTTCAGCAATTTATTGAGATCCTGAATCAAAATAAAATAAATGAAAGGGCTGGGGATGTAGTTAGGTGGTAGAATGTTCCTGAGTTCAATCTCCAGTATCACACAACACATAGAAGTTATATTTATGGTGGGGTGTGGCTGAGTGGTAGAGCACTTGTCTAGCAGATGGGAGACACTGGAGTCCATTCCCAGAGCCACCCCCCACACACACACACAAAGTGTGTATGTACAAATTTCTTATTATTTTTTTGGTACTGGGGATTGAACCCCAGGACTGCTTTACTACTGAGCTACATCCCAAGCCCTTAGCTTAAGCACTTCCCACCTGCCAGGCGCCACACTAAGCTACATGCCTTGTCTTTCTGCATCCTCACCACCACTCTGGGGTTGGTCCACTCATGATTGTTACCTTACAGCCAAGGACAGCAGAGAACACAAGGGGAAACAACCAGCACTCTACATGCGCTATGTTGCCAAGCTAGGATGTTCCACAGGTTAGGTGCACTCTGTGCATTTCCTTCTTTTCCTTTCCTTTCTTTTTTTTTTTTGGTGCTGGGGATGGAACCCAGGGCCTCTCCAATATTAACTCTAGCTCTGCCTCTAGCCCTCAATGCATTTTTAAAAATATATTTTTTAGTTGTAGGTGGATACAGTAACCTTTACTTTATTTTTATGTGGTGCTGAGGATCGAACCCAGTGCCTCAGCCGTGCTAGATGAGCGCTCTACCACTGAGCCACAACCCCAGCCCCCCCTCAATCCTTTTTTAAAAAAAAATATTTATTTTTTAGGTGTAGTTGGGTACAATGCTCTTATTTACTTTTTTTTTTTTTTTTAATGTGATACTGAGGATCGAACCTAGGGCCTTGGACTGACAATATTTTCAATTTACAATGGGCTTATTACAACATAACCTCATTGTAAACAGAAGAGTATCTGCACTTAGGAAAATATATCTTCATTTTTGGATGCTTTCTCCATAAACTTTTTCTTGGCTTTCAGTCTCCTGCCTGCCTAATTCTACATTTTAGCTCAGAATACAACACTGTGGAACCTTGATGATCCAGAGCCTGGGTGGTTATTTGCATGCAAATCCTAGACCCAGGCTTTGGCTGTGACTTTGTCCTCATGTGTCCCTTGCCAGATTGTTTCTTGCCTCTTTTTCTTTGCACTTGCTCCCTGACTTGACCTCTGAGACCTACCTAGACCCCAATGTTTGACCTGCTTAAAAGTTGTCTATGTGCTACATGTGGTAGCGCATGTAGCTTGGAAGGCTGAGGCAGGAGGATTACAAATTTGAGGCCAGCCTCAGCAAATTAGGCCCTAAGCAACTTAGTGAGATCCTGTCTCAAAATAAACAAATTAAAGCACCTCTGGGTTTAATCCCCAATAAATAAATAAATAAACAGGGCTGGGGATGTAGCTCATTGGTCAAGTACCCCTGGGTTCAGTCTCCAGTACCAAAAATAAAAAAGAAAAATCCATGACCCCCTGCATATCTATATTGCTGCTTCTATTTGTCACTCCTCATGCCTGTAAATCCCAGGGGACTGTGCCCTGTTTCTATCCATGCTTCCAGCACCCAGTGCTCCATTGTCTGTTGGCAGGAATGAAGGAGCCGGCCCTCCCCATTTCTCCCTCCCCTGGCTTCACACAACGCAAGCTCATCCTCCTTCAAGGCAAGACAAAATTGCCAATGAATTCACCAAGCTAGGAAAGTGCTTCCAATAAGACAACAGAGTCTATAGCAAAGTTGGCTATAGAAAAACACACAGTAAAGCATTGCTTTCTGGGCATTTTTTAAAGACATTTTGGAGTGGGACAAAAATTTACTGAGGAGTTCCTGACCTTAGAGCCCACAGTTACTTTTCTTTCCCAGGGGTAAGCAAAAGAGACTCATTCAGAGCCGGGACAGGCATTTCAACATTTTGATGTTGTGTTATCTGGATTCAGTGGAGATTAGAGTGGATGGCTTTTAAGAGAACAGCTGGCAGGCAGTGGAACACACCTGTAATCCAAGTGGCTTGGGAGGCTGAGATAGGAGGATCATGAGTTCAAAGCCAGCCTCAGCAACTTAGTGAGGCCCTAAACGACTCAGCGAGCCCCTGTATTATTTATCTAAAAATAAAATACAAAAAAGGGCTGAGGATGTACCTCAGTGGTTAAGTGCCCCTGGGTTCAATTCTCAGTGCCAAAAAAAAAAAAAAAAAAAAAAAAAAAAAGAATGGCCATGCTTTGCAGGATGAAAATGGAGCAGAGGACTTAAGAGAACCTGGTCTTGGGTTTCCCGGCGACCTCCAGTACTGCTGCCTTCCTGGGCAACACCCTGAACCTCTTGGCAGCAGCTGAAATATTTCCCTGCTATTCCCATTGTGTGGAAACAGATCCTGCCTGGGCCTCTGCTCTCTTCCCTTCGTGCCCTCTTGAACACCCCCGTTCCAACCCTTGCTGGGTAATAAGGCCTGCACGGCTCCTCCCTGTAGCCTGTCCAGCTCATCTCCCACTCCCCCCTCCACAGTGAACAGCCTGTCATTCTCCAAAGGTAGGCTTGTAGCCTGGTGTGCCTGGGCAGTCCCTTTTCCCACCAAAGATTTGCTCCTCTATAAAGTTCTCCTGGGCTTGACTTAAGTGCATAGTGCCTATAGTGTCACTCAGCCTTTGCTGGACTCCTGGAGGGCTGGGCCATGTCTCATTCAGGTCTTCAGGATCTCATGGGAGGAATAATAAATGGGTTGAATAAATGAATGGCTTTCAATACCAGCCACACTTTGGTGATCCACCCAGTTTACCACCCCCAGCCCATCCCCAGCTGATAGCTCTCTCCTGAGCTCCTGATGATGTACATGTACACCTTGCCACAGGCTTCTTCTCCACAGGGCTGTCCCCAGGCATCTCAGACTCCAACTTTGCCTGGAGTCTGGCTTCTCTCTTCCTCCACATCCTTGAAATGCTCTCATTTCCACCACCCGAATCTCCCCCCAATTTATCACCCTTTGCAGTTCCATGTCTATCATTTCTCATCTGAGCCCTAGTGACCTTCACAACTGCAATTCCATCTCCTAATCCTACCTGACAGCCTAAGGTGGTCTCCTAGCAGCCATAGGTCAAGTCTATATTCCTTCACACAGCGGATGAGGCTTTCCAGCATCTGGGCCTGCACCCTCATTCCAGCCTTACAGTTTTCTGCTGCCCACTACATCTCTGGCAATCTGGAACCTTCCACAATTTCTCCAAATCCATCACCCTTTTCCTGGATGACTTTCCCTTTCTGCTTCCTTCACACAGAAGTGACATTTGGAACTTCCCTTCCTGCACTACACTGCTCTTGGTCACAACGCTATCATAGCTTAGGTACACTGGTTCCCCCTTAGTGCACATAACAGCTGGAGGGCACAGCCTTCATCCTGCTCGTCTCTGCTTTCCAGTCCCCCAAAGCCTTCCTAAATGTCTGCTGGATACCTAAGTGAATGAGCCACTGACAGAGGTGGTTCTGATATTCCTGTTTGCAGGCCTCCTTTTACCCCTAGTTTGCCTTGTCTCAACCTCTCCTGGATTGCTCAAGAGTTTAAGGACCTCAGGTTAAAAATCAATGATACTGCCAGGTGTTTCTTTTTCTGTAATTGTTCACCGCCCGCCTGAGCTGCTAACAGTTTCGAGATGCTCCTTTCTAAGGCTCAAGGGATGAAGCTGGAACTGGTTTTCATGGCAGCTCTGCAAATGGTGAAAAATCACTTGAATTCAACTAATTCAAATTTTGTGTGGGACAAAGGCCTGCATCAGATGTCTGCCGAGAGCTTCTTTATTTTTCCAACCTCTCCTTTGGGGATTTAGTTCTTTCTATTTCATTTTTCTTAATACTCAGCAGCTGCATATTAATCAGGATGCTAATGAATCATAGGCTTCCCTGGGCCTGCATTCACCAATTAGCTTTAATAAACAAAATGCACGGTGTCCTCTCCACTGGCTTCCCCAGTTCCTGGGCCTGCTTCTGCTGCCCAACCCTGGACAGAGGCCAGGGAATGGAAGTGAGCCCAACACAGCACGCCTGGTGTGTATGGCCTGCTCAGGGGTCGGTGG